AAGTAACTTTTCTTACTACAGCCAGTAAACCTGTATATGCATTAACGAATTATTACAACAAGATATCAAAAGTTAAAGAAACTATTATTAAAAATGATATATTAAAGGAGAGCGAAAAATTTTTAGAATGTGTTTCCGGCTTTCTTGAATCTATAATGTGGTTTATCGTTATTCCAAGATATATTCGAAATTTTCCTGGAATTAGCATTTACACTAAAAAAATGAAAAAACAAGTCGAATGGTTAAAGAGAAGTTTGTTTGAAATTGTTAAAATTCGAAGAGAAGAAATTGAAAGAACACCTGAAGACGAAAGCCTAGTCCCTGATTGGTTAACGATGTTTCTAACCCTTAATACACCACGTAGCGTTACTAAAGGGGTTGTTAGTGATTTAAATAGTCAACCATTGACCGATGGAGAAATTGTTCCAAGTCTTATAGAAAGTATGAGCGGTACAATTGATACGGTATGGTTTCTTGTGACTTTAAATTACTATAAAATTTCCAATAACGATAATCTATAACGATCTAGACGTCAAATTTGCTTTGCTTTACAATCTATTTGATATCGAAACATCCTGAAGTGAAGCAAAAACTCATTAACGAATTTAACAATATATTGGGAAAAGATCAAGATTTTAAAATTTCATATGAGAATATTAGCAAATTGGTTTATTGTGACGCCGTGATCAAAGAAGGTAGGAATTTTATTCGAAAATACTAGATTAACCTAATATGCTTATTATTATTTTCATAGCTTCCAGAATATTCCCTACTTTACCAATACTCTTTAAAAGAAATGAAAAACCGGACGAAATTGGTGGCTACATGTTCCCCGAAAGTACTGAATTCTTTGCATACATCGAAGGAATTCACAAACGCAAGTCCAATTGGGTGAATCCAGAGGTGTTTAATCCTGATAGATTTGTGGATGAGTTACACCCGGACTATAAGAGAGTAGTTTACACATTTGGAGGTGGGTCGAGAAAATGTAAGTATTTCTTTAAAAAAAAAAATACGTAATATAAACGCTATCACGAAGTTAACTAGTTTGTCGAATAGGTCCTGGAAGAAATTTGGCATTACTTGAAATGAAAGCTACATTAGCCATGATTTACGAAAAATACAATCTTGAATTGGCAGATGTAAACACATCTTTAAAGTTTCATACTGGACTGGTTAGAACTTGTGATGAATTAAAAGTAAAAGTCAGAAAACGAAGTAGTTAAGGCAGCATAATAAGAAATCTTTATTATTAAAATTATCAAGAAGAAACTTATGGACAAAGAATTATTTACTCATACAGTATGCAGACGCATTGTTGTGAAATTCCGGTTCGGCCCTCAAAAGAGATTAATGTAGGATTTATAGGAATATAAAGTCTCATGCTGCAATTAAATGATATCTTAAAAAGAAAGTTTAAATAGATTACATAATTTAATATTTTTGTGCAGTTGTGTAAACGGAAAGTCTGTCCTTTACCCAATGATGTCGCGACACCGCTTTAGTCAAAGCAAACTAGCTTGAATCGAGGTATGTATGACTTTTTCGAGAATTTTGACACGAACAAAGAGTGTCAAACTTTATTTGCTTCTTTTTTTGCTCGGTAATCCAAATTAAGCAGACAAACCATTTCATATTTTATTATTAAAATTACATATGAATTTAAGATTTTTTGTATATAAAACTAATATTATATGTTTGGGTTTGCAAATTACGTATTTTATTCGAAAAATGAATAAAATAAAATAACCAAGTCTAAATATTAAAGCATTAATTTTATTTTATAAATAATATATTATATTTTAACAAATTTATTTATTATGAAATAAATATTAAATAAATATATTGCAATATTTTAAATATTAATAACCTGTGAATAAATAGCTAAGGTAGTAGAGCTCCAGATCTCCAAGTGAAGGTTTTCAATCAAATATATAGAGGCAATTGCAAGTTTAAGTTGTAGAAAGATGGGGTCTCTGGTTTTCTATTAAGTATGGGATTGAAATAATTGTTAATGATTATTGTATAAAAAGAGTTCTCTGATTTAAATAATATATAACTCCACTTTGACTTATTTAGTTAAAACTATATTAGTATTTTCAGACTCCTGTTTTTAGAACTAAAGTAAACATCTGTCTACTTGTTTATTCAAATTGTACTAATAGATTCTGATAATTTAACTGCTTTAACTTGTAATACTTTAATATAATACTTGTTTAAATAAAAAATTTCTTAAAAAGAACTTATCCATAATATTATAAAGAAAAGTAAAAAAACTTTAAAAAAATTTTTAAGGTTTAATGAAAAGTATTAAAATATTTAAATAATTAATTGATTCTTGTAAATTTGAATTTTTTTTGAGTACCCATAGTTAGATTAGATTATTAGTTTATTAATCAATTGAAAATATAAGAACATCTTCATTCAAGCAATATGATATATATTATAGCTAAACTACAATATTATTCTAATCTAATCAACTCAATGTAAATATAAAAGTCTCTAATTCACTCTTAAAGACAATATTTTGCTTCACAATGTCTTTGAATAAAGACTTTTCTAGTTAATTGCATTATTGTCAACAGATTATTACTGTTATATATCAAACCAAGCTACTGAAATACTGGAAACTACAAAAGGATAGAATGTATTGAAAAAAAAAAAGATAAATATCTAAAAATATCGAAATAAATAATAAAAAATGATAAGTAAAAATTAAAAAAAAATTTTTAACTTCCTCCAAAGATTTGTTTTTCAAAACTTCTTCTCAATAAAAAATGTTCAATTGAAATATCCTTTTTTCTCTTGACCATTTGAAGAACTTATCTATTCTTGATCTTAATTTATTTTGTGTAACATTAATATACAACTTACTTAAAACTTACAAATATATATAATAATACAATGAGACACCTTACATATAAATATATCAGTCAAAAACATTTTTAAAAAGATTGTTCAAACAAAATTTATTATATAATAATACCTACTGTTAAAGACTAAAGAAGTCAGATTAAGTTTAGGGTTTTCACTGTGATTATATGATCAATGATCATAACATGACTGAAGCTTATACAAAACAATTAATTACCAATTATTATTATACTATTTAAAAGATAGAAGAATGTATAAATAATCTATTCATGTCAAAAAAATAAAAAACTATAAGTTGAAGTAAAAGAAAAATAGCTGA